TTTTATTTTTTTTTTTTTTTTTTTTTGCATTGTAATAAGTTTTAAAAATTTTATTGTTAGCTACTGTCCAAGATTTTAAGGAATTAACTACTGGTGGTTTTGGATGGATACAAAATCTCATAGATATAGATCATTATTTTATATTACCTTCTCTATTTGGACTTTCAAACTTAGCTATATTAGAGGTATGTATAGAAATATTTATTATATTAAATTTATATAATATTAATATCGATATTATTTTATTAAAATTATATACTTTTTCAGATAAATCAAGTATTATTTCATGTAAAAGATTCAAAGTTTAGTAGAATTTATAAGAATTTCTGTAGAGTACTTATAATTGGTTTTGTACCATTAATAGCATGTTTGCCATCGGTATGTTATATTTTTAAAAATGAATAATCTAATTTTTTCTAATATATATTATATTAAATCGTAAATCAAATATTTCAGTGTTTATCATTGTTTTGGGTCACCAATAATTGCTGTGCAATAGTATATAATCTATTGCTTCTATCTCCAAAAGTTCGTCGATTAGGAAAAATACCTAAAACCGATTCTGAACTCAGGCGTCCATATACGGAATTGTATAAACGATTATTAGAGAAATTATATTTAAGGAAATTTTTAGCATAAACATAATGCTAATGTAACATAGAAATAAAACTGAATATCTTTTTTCTCATATCGATGTATAATTTATTAAAAAAGATAATAAAGAAATAATTATTAAAGTATTATTAATAAATATATTATAAATATATTATATTATACGATATTGTAATATTATATATTACAATATTAATTGTAAGATTTATTTCATCTATGATTGATCCGCACCTTTGATCCTGATAGAACTAAGGTCGTAAAAAGTGTTTATGTTTGATTGTAAAAATAAAAGATGACAAAAAAAATTCACTTCTGGTGATAACGCATTAAATCATATTCATAAGCATTTATGCTTAGAAGATACGTATATATAAAATTCACTTCATTAACAAACAACATACTTCAACGAACGGATTTGAAAGAAACAGAAATCATGGCTAATATCAAGTTTTTCACATTTTTGCTGTGCATCATTCTCTGTGTCGATTTCTTCTGTAAATTAGCGACAGTGCGTATATTTCGTTTTAGTTATCAATTTATTACTAACATTTTAATAATTCGTATATTTTGGTTCAATTTGTGATTAAATTTTAATTATAATATGATACTTACTTTATATATATATTATCTATAATAGATTTATTAATTTATACATATTGTTTCAATAATTTTTAGGGAGAAGTTTATCCTTATCCAGGCGATTGCTCAAAATATCAACATTGTGATAATAGTGGTTGTTTTATTCTAAGTTGTGGCGCAGGGACAGAATTTAATCCAAATATTGGTACATGTGATTATCCTTTGGCAAATCGGGGGGACTGTAATAATCGATATTAAAATTTTAAAATATTTATGAAACAGTCATAATGTATACAGTATATATACATATAACATAAATTTACTATACGATACAAATTTTTGTTTAGAAATTATTGTTTTTGAAATAAATATCTTACTTATAAAATTACGTTAAATATAACAGAAATAAAATAAAATAATGTTTCCATCGAATGTATATCAAAATTGATAATCATAATTAAAAAGTATATTCATACATAATTATGTAAACAATATGTCCAATAAAAATTTTAATTTTATTTTAAGATTTTATAAATGATTATAATAGAATTGTTATCAATATCTTTCCCAATCTTGGCACAACTAAAATCGTAAAAAACTTCGTTTTATTTTACATATGATTATCAGAAATGATGATTACGAAGAAATTCATAATATTATATGCTATAAACATTTTTATAGCATTCATCATTTTCCTTGTTATATTTCGAAGATATTGTATAAAATCCATTTCATCAAAAAGCATATTTTAAAGAATGAATTGAAAATTACAAGAATAAATTACACAATTATAAGAACAATTATCATAAAATCATGGTTAGTATCAAATTTTCTGTACTTTTATTATGCATTATTTTTTGTATCAGCTTCTGAAATAACAATTAAATGTATATTATAATTATACAATATAATTTTTATTTTATACTTTTATAATTTTTTGTGATATTTATTATATAATTATTCAATCATTATAATTTATGATACGTTTAAATAAATAAAATTTATGAAATTTATACTATTAATATATTATCAATATGGTTTAAAACTCAATAATAAGGATTTTTTGTAACATTGAATTGTTTGAGCTTGTTCTCGTTTCCCTATTAAAAGAAAATAAAACAATTTTATTTAGTTTAAATAAAAACTTATTATTCCTAGAAGAAATATTATGGACTATAACTGACTCATTGTTATTCCAATGAATATCGTTGTTAATTCTTCATTTAACCATGGTTAAATGGTTTAACACTGGCTGCAAAAAGTATAGAAACGATCTTCATTCGTATGTCAAGCAAATCATTTAGTAAAATATTTTGAAAAAAAAAGACATTAAATAAATAATTTTCTCAATCATTCATTAAAAATTTTTATACTGTGCATTTAACTGCTATAATTTATAGTCACATTAAGTATAATACGTTGTTATATTATAACAAATATATATCAATCAGTTTTGCATGCGAGAAAATGACATTTCGATCGTTAATCTTATTATGTGCATTTTGATCGTTTTCAGTGCTAAGAGTGAAAGTGGTAAACATGAATATAAACGATATCTGGTTTATACGAACCGATCCAATTCGATTTCTTCTATCACGAACATCGTGTATATTTTCACATTCTCGTACGATTTCTACTATCGATAGTTGCTCTTGAGACCAGAAGCTATTTTAGAATATTATTTATCATCCATTTTTTAATAATTATTATCACTTTTATATTACTTCTGGATTACTGTATAATATAAAAAATTAAAATTCTTTTATTTTCAAACATTTTTAATTGTAAACATATATCTATAATCTTTCTATCCATTACAATTCTATCCATTATAATCTTATATACAAGATAAATCGAGGAGGTTAAAAGATCGACACAATGTCAAAATTAGATTTTCCTTAAATATTCTTTATCTTTTATATTCAACTGTGATTTCTATCATCCTTCATATTCGTTCACAGGAAGAATTCAAATTAAAAGGATTGCAAAAAATAAAAAAAATAGTTGGTATGCCGGAATAGAAGTATAGTGCAACGAAGAAAATCTAATTTATCCAAGAAACATGCAGCTTCTTCGTTCATTCTTTTTCTGGCTTCGTTCATCGAAGAAGAACATTTTTTGAAAATGTTTCAGATCGTGTCGTTTAATCATCCATCTATTTATCACGCATCCACGAAAATATATAACATAAAAATAACGAGATCACGAAGAGACAGAAGATATTTCCTCCGATTGTATCATTCGATTATTCATCCATTTCTCGCATTTATATATCAACAAGAAAAATATAACGTAACACTACTAATAAAATCACGAAAAAAGTGAATCATCGTGCGTAGAATTTCTTATTCCTTTCCAACCACTTGAATGTTTTCAGCGGCCTCTTTATCAGATCCCAGAGTCTGATTGTTGTCAACGAGGGCCAATTTGTTCTCTCCGGAGTCAATTGGCAAACAGTTCTGTGTACATTCGTTTTATTAACGTGTTGATAAAACCACACTAGCCTCTCTCCCTTCCACCAAATAAGATTCT